AAGGAGATCAGTCCTGGGTGTTCATTGGAAGGACTGATGCTGAAGCTGAAACTCCAGTACTTTGGCCACCTGATGTGAAGAGCTGACTCATTTGAAAAGACCCTGATGCTGGGAAAGATTGAGGGTGGGAGGAGAAGGGGATGACAGAGGATGAGATAGTTGGATGGCATCACCCACTCAGTGGACATGAGTTTGGATGGACTGTGGGAGTTCGTGATGGACAGGGAGGTCTGGCATGCTGTGGTTCATGGGGTCGCAAAGAGTCAGACACGACTGGGTGACTGAACTGAACTGAACAACTGAAAGTGTTTCAGAAAGTAGTGACTGGGATGTTAAGTAAGATGAAAACTTGGATTGACTGTTGAGCAGAGTGATAAAGAGATCACTAAAAATTTTGGTGGAGTGGTGGATGTGCCAACCTGATTGGAGTGAGTTCTAGAGGGAATGGGAAGAGAGGAAGTGGAGACAGTATATACAGTTCTTTCAGGTAGTTTTGCTGTAACCAGAGAAAATGGGGCCGCAATTAGAGGGAAGAGTGAGATTAAGAAAGATTTTTATGATAGAAGCAATTGTATGGTTGAATGCTGGATGAAACAATAAAACGAGGCAAGAATTAACTGGGACCCTATTTTTGAATAGCCAATAGGGCATGGCTTTTGTGCACAAGAGGAGGGATTTGGTTGTAGCGACAATCATGGAAGCTTTGTAGCAATATGATAGAGAAGGGAGACTAGGAGTCCAGAGGCTGTTGTATGGTTAAAGTAGTAGGAATCTATGGAGTTCTCTTTGGATGACTTTCACTTTCTCAGAGATAGGAAGCAAGATCCTCAGAGCTGAGGTGTGGAGGGAAGATGTAAAATAATACGAGAAGAAAGGGGACGCATGAAGAAAGTAGAGCATGATTGCCAGGCAGGATCCACTTCTGGGTAGTAATGGTGAATGTAAAACGGATCGGTCTGCGTAGTTGTGCTTTTCTTCAGTCTTCACTGCATCAGGTTAGAGTTGGATTTAATGAGGACTTTAAAAAAAAAATTCAGTACTCGTTTTCTTTCTAGAAACACTTTCCTTGTATCATTTTTGATACCTTTTTGTTTTCTGCCTGGCATGTCTACTAAATACACAAGAGGAAAGAAATAACAGATAGTTCTTGATGGCACAAATAATTTTTTACTGTGTTTAAAACACCTGTAAGGGAAGAAATTCTGTGTTGCCATTATGACTATGTAAATTGTGCTTGAGTTAATAAAAACTTATCTTTATCAACCATGATATGAGAATGAAAGATGTTTTTAAATGAAATTTGACAGTTATAGCATGATTGGTGTTGCTTTTCCTTGTTTGAAAATGTCTTCATAGTGTTCTATAGATAGGTGCTTATATTTATTGAATCAAGTGTAGTATGTTTTAGCAGAAAGCTAGACTATTGTCCTTATGATTTTTTAAACACTCTTACAGAATCTAAACTCATGCTGTGTTAGATTCTGCTTTGTTGTAAAATACCTCCTCATCTCTTCACAACAGTTAATTGAGAATGTTTTCAGATTATTCCGTTTATGGGGCAGGGATGGGGAAGAGAACAGTTATTAGTTTTAAACAAAACTGATTATAGAGTAGGTTAATCACTTTCAATTTCTTTACATTATTTTTTCTTAATTTACTGAGGGATTCAAGTTTGAGGAATGCCTTTTTAATTGTAAGGTGTTTCACAGCAATATGCATCTAATAAGTACCAGTTGTCAGAGAAGGCAATGGCAGCCCACTCCAGTACTTTTGCGTGGAAAATCCCATGGACAGAGGAGCCTGGTAGGCTGCAGTCCATGGGGTTGCGAAGAGTCGGACATGACTGAGCGACTTCACTCTCACTTTTCACTTTCATGCATTGGAAAAGGAAATGGCAACCCACTCCAGTTTTCTTGCCTGGAGAATCCCTGACGGGGGAGCTTGGTGGGCTGCCGTCTATAGGGTCGCACAGAGTCGGACACGACTGAAGCGACTTAGCAGCAACAGCAGCAGGTACCAGTTGAGATATACTTCTGGTGATGTTTCTGGATCTTTTTTTAGTGTCTTAAAATCATTTTCAGAAAAATGGATTTTCATTTTTTCAGAATTAAAATAGATTGCTTTTATAAACTGAATAATGTATATTGAGGATACAGAAGTAGTTTGTCCTAAAGATGATTATGGAACATAATACTTCCTATAATGAATGAAGCAATTATGAAAACAAATCTCTTTGATTACACTTGACTGCATATTAACTTTTTTCATTACTGTTTTCAGATACTACTGCCTGTCACATGTGTTCATGACTGGCATTTTTGTTGCTAACTAATGTGAACTATTAATACTTGGTGTTGGTTTTAATTAATCAAAAATATTTCATACTATTCAATTGAAAGGTTTCTGTTTAGATAAAAATTGAAAAGTATTTTAAAATATACCCAAGAGGAGGTGGACTGACTGGAAAAAAGTTTCAAAATGTTAGCTTTATTGCTTATCTGAAATGGAATTTGATGAACTTTTTCATTAAGTAAAAGCTTAGTAAGAGAGTAAAATTAATAACAAGAAAAATAACTCTACTTATAAGATATGAGCTTTATAAAAATCTGTCATTCTAAAAGTTTTCAAATAACGTGATTTTCTTTCTCAGAAAAAGATGTTAACAGAACAGATCGAACAAACAAGTTTTATGAAGGTCAAGATAATCCAGGGTTGATTTTGCTTCATGACATTTTGATGACCTACTGTATGTATGATTTTGATTTAGGTAAGTTCTCCTCTAATACCCTAATTTAAAGATGTATGTTTAATTTAGAATTTAACTAGACGTATGTAAAAAGCTCTGTGATGTAGTTTTTATAGGGGTTGTTCTACTGGGGACTGGAAACTTAAAAGGCTGTGGTTCCCAAATTGTGCACCAGAGAGCACTGGGTTGCTGCAGCAAACTCATGGGACTGATGTCGGATATTTTAAATATTTGAGGGAAATAGAGGGGCATCTGTAGGACACTGCTCTAACTACTAGCTGGAGTAGTTCAGGGTTTCAGCATTAAATCACCACATTCCTTCCTTCTGATGAAGTTATGTTTACAAAAGAGAGTTTTTTACTTTGCTGTGATAAGCAAGTACTGTGAGAAAATAGATGAGGATGTTGGTATCCAATTGGATTCCAAAGTTAGAGAAGTAGTGTGGTGCCCAACAGGTCCTAAAGTTCATAGGATGTAAATATTTATTAAGTTGTTTGGATATGTTTAATAAATGGAAATGTTATTAATATTTTTGAACCTGGGATGCTGTGGAAAAAAATTTCTGAGGCGTACTGTGACCTGAGAAAGTTTGGAAACCTTTTTTTGATAGGCTTTCTCCCTTGTAAAGAAAAATGCTGATTTGATATCATAGATAAGAGGTGCAGATAATTATCTAGGGCATGTGAAACTTCACTCTTTTTTCCTGGTTAGTCGGCTTTCTACCAGGAATGGGTTGGAAAGACTAGCAGTGGAGGTTGAAGTGGGGGATTGCATGGGAAAGTGATGCTAAGGGCTAGAAAACTTGAGGAAACAGTATTTTAAGGGACAAGAGGACTTGAACTGTTTCTTTAAGGGACCAATAAACTCCCTAAGCATCTACCTTTAAGTGCGTATAAAGAATGAACAAGTTTCTGAGTTACCTACTGATGTTAGTGACTCCCAGTAGAGGATAGTGAGGGTAGATGTTTCCAGATTACCTTAATAGAACTTAAGACTTTCTTTTGGAGAAGGTAATTGAGTATTTGTCATATTAAACCCAAATGAACCTTGAATTGCGAGTATATTTTCTCCACTGTTTGTATCTATGAACCAAGAATTCTTCTTGGCTTCTTATATGTGGGTTAGGGAAAGATGTAAACTCCTGAGGATCTTGCAGCATCAGCCTCTTATGACAGGAAGTGAATATCTCAGATTTCTCTTTAAAATGTGAAATGTGCCCAGTCCTGTCGGGTCACACCTATAATGAACCTCACATTGGATCGCTGAAAATACTAGGGACTGGAGTGCTTCTCAGGTTACCGAGTGTTGTCCTGCTCAATTTTGATTGTATTAGCAGCCTCTTTTAAGAAGTGGATTAATAATCCCAGTTGTATGAATAAAGTTATAGTGATTTAGAGAGTGACTCAGGGCTGCATAAATAGTAAATACTGGGCTGGGGGTAGAGGCCCAGCTCTTTATTTCAGGCTGGCATTTTAAAAAATGTTTTTATTTATTTACTTGGCTGTTGCAGGATATGGGGATCTAGTTAGCTGACCATGGATTGAACCCAGGCCCCCTTGCTGTGGGAGCACAGAGTCTTAGCCACTGGACCACCAGGGCGAACATTTTCCAGGCTGGCATTCTTAGCTCCACACGTTCAGCACCCTGACCCATTGCCATGTCAGTCTCTGCTAACCACTATTGGAAATAGGGGCTTTATCGTGGAGAACAGGAGGCATCCTCTCCAGTGGCAATTGTGAAGTATGAATGTATATCCTCAGAAGTCGTTCCTGAATGCTCAGTTTTTCCAGGCGTTGAGTCACAGACAAGCTATTAGGACAAATTGCTATTTCCATTTGTCTATATTAACCCCACATTCTTTCTGGTTGGATACTTAAGTTATCTGAAACATACCCAGGGATTTTATTAAGAACTCTGGCCTTGAAAGAAGCCAGGGTAGTTTTCATAAAGCCCTGGACCAAATTGCTTGCTGTTTGACATGGATTTGAAGTAGCAGACAGTGATATCTGACTCTTTGCAACTCTGTGGATTGTAGCCTGTCAGATTCCTCTGTCCATGGAGTTTTCTAGGCAGGAATACTGGAGAAGGTTGCCATTTCCTAATCCAGGGGTCTTCCTGACCCAGGAATTGAACCTGCATCTCTTGCATCTCATGCATTGAGCAGGTGGATCCTTCACCAGCTCCCCCACTGTCTTGCTGTTTACTCACAGTAAAGTAACCTGGGCTGTAAGTTTACTCTTGTAGTTGATTTTGTCATATTGAGTTGTTTGACCTCTTAGCCCACAGATGAGGTATCGGTGTGTTTGCATTTAATACAATCTCATTAGTAGTGAAGAGGAAGGCAAAAACCATCAAAAGCATACAGAAAACAGACATTACCAAAAGCAGATAGAAGAACTCAAGGAAGAGGAACTCTTCCTTTGTGCAGAGGGTACACCTAAGGTGTCTCTGTGGGAGGTACCTATTTTTTTTTCCTGCAATGTATGTTTATAATCATGATCCTGAATAAAAAACAGAAGGTTAAATTATACTCAGAATACTCTATGTAAGAAGGCAGGAGTGTGTCCAGTAGAAAAAAAATGATTTCAAATGCTTAAGATTTTTTTTTTAAATTTTATTCTCTAATAACTGAATAAGCTTCAGTTAACCTGGAAAATTGACCTATGTAAAGATGAACTCTTTCTTTTCTCTTTAAGAATGTGTGCATTAGGATGATAAGGAGTTCATTTTCAACACCTCCCAACTGAAACAACTTTGTTATGAAAATAATTTAGGGGAACTTCTTCAGACATTGTAGTAGTACTGATTAAGATGTACATCAATCAGCGCTAGTACAGAATCTGAACATCACTGAATGCTAATTTAAACAGCTTTAATCTTTCTTTAATTAAAAGGAATTTGTACATTAATTCCACCCCCACAACTCATGATATACCCCAAAGAACATCATGTATAAAATAGATGAAAAGCAACAAGAGTATGAAGAATAATTTGACTAGTTGATTTAACTAAAACTTACAGAAGAGATACAGTACTGATCTGGTATGAAAGCTGAAGACTTAAAGGATTAAATTAGCTTCTTAGAAATTTTTATTCATTATAACTTTATAATAAAACTCATTTCCCCCCAGAAGAAAGGTGCTTTGTAAATCTTTTGAATAGCACACTTTGAAATAGTTCTATTATAGACTATAGGTAGTCAGACCCAGTAAAGTGGTACTCTTCTGCACTTTGTTGAATTCAGATAAATTTCCTTCATGCTTTGATTGGTTTAGCCTTTATGTTTGTCATTGCTTTCACTGTGTCATTTCCATGTAGGAAACTTTTGATGATAACAGTCTAGTCTTCCTTCTGACCTACTTAAGAAAAATGTTGTTTTAGCCAGGGAAAGAAAGAAAGAAAAAAAGATTGCTTATAAGATACTGGCTTATGTCATTACGGAGACTAAAAGGTTCCCAGCCTGCCATCTGTAAGCTGGGAGACCCGGGAAAGCTGGTGGTGTGGTTTAAAGCCTTCTGAGAGCAGGAGGGCCGTGGCATAGGTCTCATTCCTGAGTCTGAAGGTACGAGGCCAGGAGCACTGAGGGCAGATAGAGGTCGCAGGTCAGGCAGCCAGGCGGAGAGCAATTCAGCCTGCCTCATCTCTGTGTTCTGTTCAGGCCCTCAGTGAATTGGGTGATGCCCACTCACATTTCTGAAAGCCATCTGCTTTAATCAGTTCACCGATTCAAGTGCTAATCTCTTCTAGAAAAACCTTTGCAGATACTCCCAGAAATAATGTTTAACCAGACATCTGGGCATCCTGTGGCTCACTCAGATTAACACACAGGATTCATCATCACAAGTGTGTATTATTTTTTAAAAAAGCATCTGCAATAAATTTGTTTATATGCTTATGTTTAGGTATCATATCATATGCCTTTTTTTCTAGCTCTTTTCTCTAAATGTCTTGGTAACTCCATTGTTTGGCACTGTAATAAGGGGATCCCAAGTTTGTGTATGTGTGCATGCGTGCGCACTAATGTGCATAGAACCATACTTTTCCATGGGGTGTAGTGTAGACATAGTGAGGTTGGTAGGGATTAGGTGTAACGGTAGATGACAGGGTAGAGGCTAATAGCAGATAGAACTAGACTTTTGTTTGTAAGGAGATCCTGAAGTGAACTGGGTGTCTTTATTACACTTTTAACTCAAATTTTCTTAAGAGATTTTGGCTTACCTGCTTCCTGGGGTCATTTTTTAAGCTTTCTTCCAAAATAGGAAGAATGATGTAAAATTATGTATAATTTCTTCAGAAATATCCCCTCTCCTTTAAAAAAAGCATACTGTTTTCAATGACTTCAGTTCACATAGATTTTGGCGAATGATAAGAATGTAAGTTTTGGTTCTGCAAATGAAAGCCTGTTTTCCTCAGACTTATCATTGGGGAAAAACATCTCTGTGTAACTTTAACAAATACACAAGTTACCAAAGTTGAATGATAATATGTATGTGAAAAGGCTTTGTAAGAGCTCTTCTCCGTTGGTTCATTCAAGTCTCTATTTTAAGTCTGAAATCTAATTGTAAAATAGTTAAGAAAATTGAAGATTTTATAAGATGGAAATATAAAAAATAAGACTTTTGACATGGTCTGGTGAAAAGCAAAACTAAGACTTTCTGTTTTTTAAGGGAGGGACCTGCTTCTTTAACTTTCCAATTTTTCTTTTAATCAAGAGCTTTAAATTAGTGTCATGATTGAGAAATTGTAAGATCGTCAAGAGAAAGATGGTTGAAATGGTAGTTTTACATACAAAATATTGGATTAAATCCATTTGCTAGCATTGGTTGGGTTAGAGTAACAGCAAAAGGAAAAAAAGAGAAATTGAAAGAGGTGATTTTGTTGTGGTTATTTTTGTGTGGATTACCGATGTCTGGTTGCTAAATCAGTTGGACCCTTTTTTAGTTCTTATTTCACTTGGCTTATTCATGGCAGTTTGGTGGTGGTGTCCACTCTGACCTTGCAACTTCTTTCCCTTTGACTTTTATAGCATTCTTCTCCCTTGCTTCCCCCCTTTCTCCTTGACTATTCTCTCACAAATCTTCTTTGGCTGTGTTCTTTTCAGTTTGATGTTCCTCTGGGTTTCCCGTCATCCGTCTTTATCATAATGCTTTTGCACATAAGTTTTTAGTATTATCCTCTCCTGATAGTGAGTGACATCTGCACTGAGACACACAGCAGTTACATATCTGCTTGACCTCGCAAGCACCTCCCATTTCTCACCTGGTTGCTAGATAGCCTTCTCATTGTTTAAGAACATCAGTATACACAAGTCTGTGAAACCCGAAAAAGATGTAATTTTAAGTGAGTTGGTGGAGATACGCATAGATGGATACAGAAAGTTTAGGTTTTTAGAGGTATGATTAGTTTTTCTCTCTTTTTTTAAGGCTACGTACAAGGAATGAGTGACTTACTTTCACCTCTGTTATATGTGATGGAAAATGAAGTGGATGCCTTTTGGTGCTTTGCCTCCTACATGGACCAAATGGTAAGAACAGAGACTCCTTCCTTTAATCAAATTAATTTTGAATATTTTAGTTATATCATAATCTTACTATATAAGATGGATGTTTATATTTAGCCAGTCATGGTAGAATTTTAAACAAATTGCTCTGTTGTGTGTTTGTTTCAAGAGGCTTGGAAATGCTGGTACTATTTTTAATATTAAAAGTAGATAGTAAGTGCCTATAGAATAGGAATAATCAGGATTTAATATTGGTAAATGCTTATGATCTGCAGAAGGGTAATGAGTCATAGAATATTGATGAAGTAGATGATTCAGTTCTTTGGAGGTATTTTCATTTCATCTGTTTCAGAGATAAAGCTTAGTCATGCCAAGTAATATCCTTACCTTTTGTGAACATTTTAGATTTTATCATTATAGTGACTGATTTTTCTCCAGATGTTTTTGAACTATTTGTAACATTGACACTTTCTTAGTTTTTTCATAAGCATGTGATTATTAGAGTTGAACTGTCTATATACATATTATTACAAAGAACATTTTATCTGTTATCATTGATATATCTTAGAGACAGAGTTCTAGGACAATAGTACAGAGAGAGTATTAACAGGAAAATAAAATAGAACAGTCTTCTCAAGTAATCTTTAGAAAGTGGAAGGGGGAAGAAAAGCAAAGGGGCGTAGAGCAGATAAAAGCACATGAAACCCAAAGGCCTGACTGCATAGGTCTCTGTACTTGTTTCAGAATAAAATTAATGTGCTTGATGCTGGCCCTTCATGGTCGGATATTGAAATGGCTTGCTTGTAAGGGGATAAAGATTTCAAATATATAATCATATGAAATGATTCCTTGCTATATAGAGTCTGGGATACAGATGTGAAACTTTTTGATTGCTTCTGTTTTTTGATGACTTCTGTTCTTCCTCTCTTCCTTGCCTGTTTTTATTTCCCCTTCTAATTTGTCTCAGTTTTACCTGTTTTCTCAAGTCTCTTCTCCATGGTTTCAACTCATCACTACTTCGCTTAGTTCTTTTCCATCCTTAATAAGATTTGATAGTTTTAAAATATTCTTTTACTATTAAAGTAATACATATTCAAATTATATAGTCCTTTACCATAAATTAATTTTTTTGGATTATTTAGAAAGATTGTTAATTGCAGTAATCTGATAGTATCATAATTTGTCTTCCTTACCTTTTTGATTGGTTGATTTTTACCTGCCTTCTTAGTTCCATATACTCCTAAGCGCTCTAGAAACCTGAGGCATTTGTTATAAAGGTCTGTACAACTGATAATAATTGTATAAAAACTGTTGTTTTGTTTTCCTTGTTTTTGTTGTTTATCCTCTTTTCACTAGAGATAGTTTGATAAAGAGGTCATGTCTTTGTTTAACTCATTCTGTGATATGCTGCCAGAATTTTCCTGATGCTTGACATGAGGTGTTTGTTCAACAGATTTTTGTAAAATAAATACGTGAGTATTTCCCCAGTGCTTAGTTTAGATCTCAGCTTACAGTAGGTTTTCTAAGAATTAGTACAAACGTATGGCATTTACTTTTTCTGTTGTTAATCAGTCGCTAAGTCGTGTTCAACTCTGTGACCCCATGGACTGTAGCACTCCAGATTCCTTTGGCTCCTGGAGTTTGCTCAAATTCATGTCCATTGAGTCAGTGATGCTATCTAACCATCTCATTACAGTAATAGTTTTCATAAGAGCTAATACTGGCATGTTCAAGTGTATTATCTTGTGTGCCAGATATGTATACACATGCATATGTGTGCATGTATTTAGGCCTCAGATGTAAAGACCACTTTCTGAACATCTTTAATACACATTTCACAGTCTGTCATTTTTGTGTATGGAGGTTCAAGTTCTTCTGTCTTTTTCACAGTAGATGCCTTTTCCATTGACAACAGTCTGGGGATATTTCTAGTCTTTATTCTAAAAAGATTTCTTAATGTCTGCTAACATTTTTTGTTTCATGATGTGAAACATAACATGAAACATTTTGTAATATGAAAGGGCAGTAAGTTACAATCAAAATAGTTTGCACAATTATTTCCACCGCATTGTTATTGTTTTGGTGTCCTTGAATCTCTTCTGCTGTTTGATTCCTTGTTTTTGTTTTACAGCTTTATTTCATGTAAGTTTTTACTGCTTTATGGAGGCTGAATCCAATGTCTGTATATTTACTTTTGTTGGTATTTACTCACATCTAGTGTTGGTCTAGGCATAGACTTCTGTCTCTTATCGCCATATTATAGAAACAACTGCAAAATGATCTAATGAACTTCCTTATAGCCAGCATTCATTTTGCCATATAGTTTTAACTTGCCCTTCCTTCTTACCCCCTCCCATATACATATGTGTGTGTATGCACATACACATACCTGTGTATATGTACATATACATACATGTACGCACACATGTACATGCATATGTAATGTATATACACATTTATAGTTAGACTTGAAGCCCTTTGTATATCCATTGTTGACCTCCTTTTCCTTTCTGCAGTAATAGCTACTTCTCTGAAGTTGGCTTCTGTCATTTTGGGAGTGCTACTTTTTATAGCAGAGTGGGCAGCAGTGGCCATGCCATGCTGGTACTTCCAAAACAGTGGAAGCTTTTGGCCTTGTCACAGCAAAAATTATACTGTTAATCAAAGAGTTAGTCCTGCCTTTCCCTTTTATTTTCCAGTGGGAAATGTGAAGAAACTATATCCCAAAAACTTGTGTTCGTCTATTAAAGCATTTCTTTCGCTAATTAAACTATTCAGATCACTAAAGAGAAACCAGTTTATTGAGAATCAGTAGCCTTAATTTTTTTTTAACCAACTAATCTGATAGATATTTCTAATAAAGCACTATTATTAGAGAAGGAAATGGCAACCCACTCCAGTATTCTTGCCTAGAGAATCCCATGGACAGAGGAGCCTGATGAGCTACAGTCCACGGGGTCACAAAGAGTCGGCCGTGACTTAGCGACTAAACTACCAAACATTTTCTCAAAAACTAAAAGAGAAATGTGAGGGGGAAAGGATGTTATTCTTAGGCTTTTCACAAAGATTAGGGCAGTGGTTCACCATAAAGGGGTTAGAACATGAGGGTTAAAGGGATCATAATCATAAGAAACCTTTCATTTATTTTGGTGCCCTCCGCATCCCCAAAACCTTTTGGTAGCGAATCTACTCAGTTTCAGAGATTAAAACATTTAAACCACAGTAGTTCTCAAACTTTATGATCTCAGAACCTCTTCACACTCTTCAATATTATTGCAGATTCTAAGAGCTTTTGTTTATGTGGGTTATATCTGTTGATGTTTGTCATGAAAAGTTCTAGGAAATTGATAAATATCTTGTTGTTTAGTTGCTAAGTTGTATCCAACTCTTGCAACCCGGTGAACTATAGCCCACCAGGCTCATCTGTCCATGGGATTTCCCAGGCAAGAATACTTGAGTGGGTTGCCATTTCCTTCACCAGAAGATCTTTCCAATGCAGGGATGGAACCTGTATCTCCTACATTGGCAGGTGGATTCTTTACCACTGAGCTACCTGGGAAGCCCAGATATTTATTTATTCATTCATTTAGAGAGAACAGTAAACCTTCTGAAATTTTACATACATTTTTTAAAAATGAAAAATAACTTTTCCAAAACAATTTACTGAAAAGAGGGATTATCTTCCAGTTTTCATTTTCTTTTACTGTTTAGTATTTAGTTTAATAGGAGACAGCTGACTTTCACATCTGCTCTTATATGCGGTCTATTGCAACATATAGCCTTTTTATAGCCTTTACAATTATGGGAGAATTTAAAGTGCAAAATGCATAGATTGTTTTAGTATTGCTATTGTCATGAAAATGGTTTTGACTTCATAGACTCCTTAATGTCATCAAATCATAAGAAATAATTAGCTAATTCTTTAACACTGGACACATATTAAAGCTAAAATTAATTTTATTTCCTATGTTAATTTGAAGAAATATTTAGCAGTAAAGTGATTTGATAAAAGTTTGTATCCCAAATGTATGTTCCTTTCACCCAGGTTTCTTATTTGATATAAGAATAGTCTATCAGTCAGTCTACAGCTGCTGTTGTTTGCATTATTCTTTATCTTAAATAGTGGGAAAAAATAATCTTTTAGCATTTGAATTAGTTGTGATTTTAAAATATAACCAGTATGGTGTAAGTACAACATTTGTCCTTATTTTAATGGCACAGTTATCAGTGGTTATGTACGGTAAAATATTTATTAAAGATTACTTAATATTTTTTTTAAAGCATCAAAATTTCGAAGAGCAGATGCAAGGCATGAAGACCCAGCTTATTCAGCTGAGTACCTTACTTCGGTTGTTGGACAGTGGATTTTGCAGTTACTTAGGTGAGTTGAGTGAAACAAAGCTATACTCAGCAAATTGTAGGGTAATACGCAGAGAGAAAAAATGTAAAGACTATATAATCCACCAATGTTGCCTGAGTTCCTCTGAGGAATAAAACTGTGGGACCAAACTGTCCCCCTTGTACAATTCGGCCTTAAAACAGTTTATTCATACTATGAAATACGAGTCATCTCTCATTTGTGAGGACTGCCCCTGGGTTGCGAAGATCTTTTGGAGGAAGAAATGGCAACCCAGTACAGTATTCTTACCTGAAAAATTCCATAGACAGGAGCCTGATGGGCTGCGATCCAGAGTTGAAAAGAGCTGGACATGACTGAGTGACTCACACACCCACACTCTCACCCTCATGTCAGAATCCAAGGAGACTCAAGTCCCTTGTGTAAAATGGTATAGTTTTTGCATATAGCCTATGTACATCTTCCTGTATACTTTAGATCACCTCTAGATTATTTATTATACCTCACACAACATAATTGCTTTGTAAATACAATGTAAATCCTTTTTAAATAGTTGCCAGGTGCAGCAAATTCAACTTTTGCTTTTTGGAACTTCCTGGAATTTTTCTTTTCCCCAAATATTTTCCATTCACAATTGGTTGAATCCACAGACACAGACTTGAAGAGATATGGAGAGTCAGCTGTTTTTTGGTGTCTTGCTTTTAAAGAAGTTAGCCTGCAATTCTGAATTGTTTCCTTGAATTAGTAGAAGATAATTAAATTTATAGGACTTTTAATAGCCTAAGATGAACAGAAAAATTTGAGTTTGAAATAGGTACCCTATTCTGAGATAATTATTGTAAGAGAAAATAAGGGTTTTTTTTTTTTTTTTTTTTGTAGAATCCCTGAGTTTGAAATAGGTACCCTATTCTGAGATAATTATTGTAAGAGAAAATAAGGGTTTTTTTTTGTTTTTTTTTTTTTGTAGAATCCCAGGACTCTGGATACCTTTATTTTTGCTTCAGATGGCTTTTAATCAGATTTAAAAGGGAATTTAGTTTTCTAGATATTCTTCGATTATGGGAGGTAAGTTCTTAATTATTGTAAAAATGTAACACTTTATGAAAATAACCATTTTGTTTCTATAGAGTATAAATGGATTATAATATCCTGACTGAAATTTCTAAAGCAGTTCTGAAATTCTGATGTTTCCGGTCTCTCCTTAAGAACTGTGTTGAACTGAATGTGTGGTCTTGGGAGCTTTTTTCTGTAGATCACATCCTTGTGAGACTGGGGGCCAGTAGGTTACCCAGAACCAGTTCTGTAGACCATTTGACCTTGGGGTACCTTATGTGAGACTGTACTGAATTTGGGTGTAGATTGAAATATAGTTAAGAAAGTTTTGGCAGGCCAGTCAGTTGAGGTGGTACTTTATTTGTAGTTTGGAGTATTGGGAGGGAACTGACTTTTGTTTTACTTTTTAAAGAAATTTAAGTTAGAGCAAAATACTAACAATAATGTAACAAATATGCTACTATCTGCATTCAATGTATGTAATGATTTTGCCTTATTTACTTCTATCAAGTTGGCCAAATAAATTTGTTTGAATGAATTTGTTTGAATGAACTTTTTGGCCAATCCAATAGTTTTTCCTCTCTTTTCAAGGCAAAAAATATTGAAAGATATAGCTTAGATCTTTCATCTCCACCCCAAGCCCCATTACCCTTTTCTTCACTCTGGAGAGTATTCATGATCATGTTTTTGGTTTATATCTTTTTATTCCATCTTGCACCCAGGGCAACTCTTGATGAAAAACAGAAAAGTATTATTTTCTTTTCATATATCTGTTAATTGTTAACAGATGGTATGCTTTCGAAATAGACTATTGGTATAATGACCATCCACTACCTTATCTTTATGAAAGTAAAGATGACAGAAACTTTCCCAAGGAAAGAATGGGGGAAATAATCTGTTTGAATAATAAGTGAACTTAATATACAGTGAGTATCCTGAGGTCCTTACACCTGGAAGTTGATTCCTTACTTTTGGTGGCTGTGCTCCCATTAGAGAAAGTGATGCATTAACTGAAGGAACACGTCTTTGTTTGAAATTAGAAGGAAAACTTACATGTTCTCGACCTAGAATCGTACTTTAAAGTTTATCAGTTTCATTAAATTAGTATCTCAGCTTCATTTTAAAAGTTTTCAGTAGTTGTAATAACTCCTTAATCTGTGTTTACCAAATAAATTAGGACTTTTAATGAAATCTTTGAGGTTAATTGCATTAGAATTAAACTTTCAAAAATGGATTTAGTCTGAAAATGATTCTACTTGGTTTATTTTTAGTAAAAGAAATAAAGACATTTCTGGTATGCTTTAATAATATTGTTTACACAAGTCTTTGATCTTTCTAAAAAAGATATTAAGTACATTAACCAGAGGAAATTAAGACTTTAAGTTTTAGGACATTTATTGGGAAGAAATGATCAAATGTTGTACACATTTGGGTATAAATTTTGGGTGGTTGATTGAGTTTTTGTCACAATCAGATATTCTGATTTATTATATAATATGTTGCTTAGAATGTAGAGCTTACTTCTGGGTGTTTTTGATTCCATGCAGTGTATAACTGCATTTTTATTCCTATGATGTAGCTTTTCCCCTCACCCCCAGAGACTGAAGATGATTTAAAAGTGAAAAACTGAAGGTTCAGAAAAATATTGAAAATACCTCTAACGCTTATACCTTAGCCGTTTATCATATTGATTAGGCTCAGTACTAACTGTAGTCACCTAAAGAGACATGTTTGGGATTCATCATCATTCATTTATTGTTTGTGGGCAAAGTTTAGACTTTCATTCCCCACATCTCATTTCTTAACTAGAAAAAGAATGGACTACTCCATCTAGGCAACTTCTGCTTTGCATAGAAGTCATTCAGAATTGAGCATCATATCTATGAAGAAAATATTTTATTTTTTTTATTTTTTTTTTTTAAGAAAATATTTTAGAATTGATAGAGTTTACTAAATATGTGTTCTGTTTTCTATAGGTAATGTGGACTGAACTACCATGTAAAAATTTTCATCTTCTTCTCTGTTGCGCTATTCTGGAGTCAGAAAAACAACAAATAATGGAAAAACATTATGGCTTTAATGAAATACTTAAGGTAGTTTTTCTTTTAATTTGGATTTTAATATTTTGACTCTTTCCTCTTTTTGTTGGAAAACAAACATTTCCTTGAGTGTTACTGAATCTCTTGAGTGACTTAAAATTTTATCAGTAATAGTCAATACTAGGACAAGTCTCTGAGAATGACAGTTCAGCAAGTTGAACATATTGGCCAGTTATTTTTTCTCCTAGCTAATTAGAAAGAGAAGCAAATTCAACAAATGCTCTTTTATGTTGTTTACTTTTCTAAAAAAAGTAATTCTTTTGCTTATAACTCTGAGATAGTAGACTTGGGACAGCTGCTGGATTTAATGTTCCAATAGCTTATTATTAATAGCTGTTCCTTAGCTTTAAAACTTGAAATGATCTAATGAGGGATATATTAAATTTCCTGTTTACTTGTAGTCTGGGGGTATTTTGTTTTGAGGATATTATCTACAGTGTAATATAACTAGTATGACACCACCCTTATGGAGGAAAGCTAAGAAGATCTAAAGAGCCTCTTGATGAAAGTAAAAGAGAGTGAAAAAGTTGGCTAAAATTCAACATTCAGAAAACTAAGATGGCATCTGGTCCCATCACTTCATGGCAAATAGATGGGGAAACAGTGAGTGACTTTATTTTTTTGGGCTTGAAAATCACTGCAGATGGTGACTGCAGCCATGAAATTAAAGATGCTTACTCCTTGGAAGAAAAGTTATGACCAAACTAGACAGCTTATTAAAAAGCAGAGGCATTACTTTGCCAACAAAGGTCCGTCTAGTTAAAGCTATGGTTTTTCCAGTGGTCATGTATGGATGTGAGAGTTGGACTGTGAAGAAAGCTGAGCGCTGAAGAATTGATGCTTTTGAACTGTGGTGTTGGAGAAGACTTGAGAGGAGATCCAACCAGTCTATCCTAAAGGAGCTCAGTCCTGGGTGTTCATTGGAAGGACTGATGCTGAAGCTGAAACTCCAATACTTTGGCCACCTCATGCGAAGAGCTTACTCATTTGAAAAGACCCTGATGCTGGGAGGGGTTGGGGGCAGGAGGAAAAGGGGACAACAGAGGATGAGATGGCTGGATGGCATCACTGACTCGATGGATATGACTTTGATTAAATGCTGGGAGTTGGTGATGGACAGGGAGGCTTGGCGTGCTGTAGTCCATGGGGTCGCAAAGAGTCAGACATGACTGAGCGACTGAACTGAACTGACTGAATATAACTAGTAATAAATTGTGTAATAGAGTATAATAGTGTTTCAGTTTCAATTATTTTATTGATTTATTCTAGCATATCAATGAATTGTCCATGAAAATTGGTGTGGAAGATGTACTATGCAAGGCAGAAGCAATTTCACTACAGATGGTAAAATGCAAGGTATACAATATTTTAAGTAATTGAAAGATTTTTTTGTCTGTATGATTTTGGTGGATTGAGGTCACAAACTTTTTCTTTTTAGAAGTTAAATTAGCACGTTGTTGGCAGACACAAAGCATTGGCTAAACATTTGTTTACCATTATAGATTTACAGCACTTAATTGAAAACAATTGAATAATTATTCTAGGAGACAATAAGAAGACAGAATGATAAAAGTAATGAGAACACTTTGGCAACAACAAGAGAGGCTGTAGAAGCGTCGATATATTTTCAAAGTAGTGAGCACAGAATAGGACCTCATAGTGAATATATAGTGCCTTCAAGTCAGGACAGATGCTAATCAGAAATAATTAAATGGATATTATTTGGTCAATGTCATTACATTTATATCAGTCAGGCTCTTAATTATCTCTAAAAACAAGGCAAGTTTGAGGTGTTATGTTATGAATTTAAACCAAAGTATTACACTTTTGGTGTATTTTGGTTTTCAGATTTTTAAGAGAATTCTTTTTGTGTCATTTGTTCATGGTTCCAAATATTTATTTTGGCTCAGTTCTTTTCTTTATAATTTTACGCATCTGTATACTTACGGCTGCACCGGGACTTCATTGCTGCCTGGGCGTTTCTGGTTGAGGACAGTGGGGGCCGCTCTTCCTTGCGGCTCGCAGGCTCCTCCCTTCAGGGGCTCCTCTGCTTGGGGCGCTTGGGCTCTCGGGCCTCTGTGGCTGCAGCGCATGGGCTCAGTCACTGAGCCTCCCGGGCTCGGCACTCAGGGCGCACAGGCTTAGTGGCTCCTTGGCATGTGGGCTCTTCCCTGGATAAGGGATCAAAGCTATGTCTTCCGCATTGGCAGGTGGATTCTTTACCACTGAACCAGCAGGGAAGCCCTATTTTAGTTCAGTTTTACAAATATTTATTTGATAGCTATTCTGTTCAAAACTTGTTGGTGATGCTTTTCAAGTTTAAGGAACATTTGTGTATTGAGGGAAAAGAATGACGTAAATAAAGAGTGAAATAAATGCAAAATGTTAGAAAACAGTATGTTTGTGGGAGTGGTGGGCTGGGGTAGGATGGAGAGTGGCTAATTCAGAATAGATCAGAAGACCACTTATTAAAAAGAGTGGTTTGGATTTCATTTCAAGTGGAGAAGGAAGGCCTGAGAAGGTGCATAACAATTGCACTGTTAGAACAAATGTTTGGTGTTACCTTCAATAGTACGTGTTAATTTGTGATTACTTTTCCTCTATGGTGAATGATGATTTTATTTTTGGTTCTTCTTATTCAGGAGTTGCCACAAGCAGTTTGTGAGATCCTGGGGCTTCAGGAAAGTGAAGTTACAACACCGGATTCAGACAATGGGGAAGATGAAAATGTTGGCATGACTATTAGTCCTGCATCTGCATTTGAGAGTAACTCATTGCCTGTCCTTACTGCCAGTGGAGGCAGAGATGACAACCCAACAGAGATATCCATGTCCCCAAGTGTCAGCAGATTAACACCTGCATGATCATTCTTTGAAGAGACACTTTGTTACAACTTTTTTTCAAGTACTTGAAAGGTGGAAATTTGAAATCTTGGTATTGATCATGCTTTAAGGTTTATGGAAAGAATGTGTACTGATGTTCTTGCATTAAAGCTTTACAAAGATTTAAACTAATTATTTTTGTAGTTACTTCTACCAAATAGCCTTTCCTTTTCAATAACATTCCTTAGTATTTTTTTATAGCTAAGTACATTTTATTTTCTTGCTGATGAACTGGAATTGGAAAAACAGTACAAGTGGATGAGTTGGAAATTACGCACTTTGAAAACATTCACTTTGTTTACTCCGGGTTTAGCAGGTTTGGATCTGATTAAATGCTGAGCCTTTCTATAGCTTTCTAAGCTGAGAAGTAGATTGTGGCCCAGTGATGAAATGAAAGAATTTATTTTTCTCTCTTGTTTACAAAAATACTCAGCTTAAATATTTACGCTGGTTGAATGTGATTTAAATTGGACATTTTCATCAATGCAATTTAATGTGTAGATAAAGAGCTATTTCAACCATAACAAGTGGATTGGCAGTATATTTTTTACATTGAACTTTTCTTCACTTGTATATAAAGACTGTATAAGTACTTATTTATGAGTATAAGAAAGGATAGGCATATTTTCTTTAACAGAATAAACTTGACTATTGATTTATATAACCTGATTTCACAAAGTTAATACATAGCTTCAATATGAGATCTTTTTCAAAGCTATTTTCTTAACCAAACATTTATTTCAGGAGACTACATTCAACCCCATACCTGGTGTAATTTTCAAGTTCATTGCTTATAGTCTCATTTTACTAATAATGTTTACTGTCTTTCCTAATAATGCATTAACTGATTAATCAGGTCTTTAAATTTTTATGAAATAATCTTTACCGAAAGCTTACATCAAAAATTTCATTATCACAAGTCTCAAAATAATGCTCTTTTGTATATGAATGAAGCTATTGTTTTTACCATGCAGTATTGCATGATTTTAAGTTATGTGTAATGAACATAACTGATTCCATTTTAATTGTAATTTGTTTACTTCTGTACATATCATTAAAATAAATTTGAAGTTGAAATGGTGTTTTCAGTTAAATTGCACTTGGAAATAATCTGCTGGTTCTTTGTGAGAAGAAGAAAACCCTAAGATGGACCCCAGTGCATCTTGTATTTTTATATGATTGAAACAGTCATTTGAATGAGTTGTGGGAAGAAGTGAGAAACATGATTCTCTATAAAGAAACTTTTTATTAGCATGAAATTGAGTATAGTATTACCTTGGAGGATATAATTATCTGAATCAGTAAAGCAACTTCCTGCAAGTGATGTTAATAATGTAAAATAAAAGTTACATAGTTCTAAAATGGTCCACTAGATAGAGTCCCAGCACCCCTCTCCTCCCCCCCGCTCAGAGAACTAGGGAACCAAATGAACTTCTTCTTACTTGAGCTTTAACTGACAGTCATGACAGTAGAACCATTAGATTGTATTTTTTAATATCATATGTGTGTTATCTTTCATCAGTTAATAATAAGTAAGTCTATTCAGAAAAAAAAGTAAACTGATGAAAACTTGGCATCTCCAGCCTTTCATTTCCTGGTGTTGAGGAAATTGCTGAGAACATCTTGATGTCCTCCTTGTTCTTCCTGGGCAGGGACTTTGGGGAGTGTTTTTTTTTCCCCAGCTATGTAATATAATGTCTACTTCAGAGTGTTAAAAAATTTTAAGACATTTAGTAAGTTTAACTTTTGTGAAGTTTTATTTTTAAAACTACTTGTTAAAAACATTTTTACTAAACATGTAATATTTCTCTTTGGCACATTTTTTATATGTAAATAATGATAATACAGTGCTAAGTAAAGTCTGACTTAATCCTTGGCTAGCAAAACCAGCTAGCAAATAACCATGTAAACTTGAACTTTTGCTATTGCTAAGATAGATAGAGTTCAGGTAAGTGTCTTAGTCTGACTTTTAAAAGATTTGCTTGTTTTAATTTTCACAAGGTGCTCTGTCCATGCCAATAACACATGAGATATTGAAAGTGCAAGTCACGTCTGACTCTTTGCAACCCCATGGACTTTACAGTCCATGTAATTCTCCAGGCTAGAATACTGGAGTGGATAGCCTTTCACTTCTCTAGGGGATTTTACCAACCCAAGGATTGAACCCAGGTCTCCCGCATTGCGAGCAGATTCTTTACCAGCTGAGCCACGAGGGAAGCCCAAGAGTACAGGAGTGGGTAGCCTATCCCTTCTCCAGCGGATCGACCCAACCCAGGAATCGAGTCAGGGTCTCCTGCATTGCAGGTGGATTCTTTACCAGCTGAGCTATATTATGTGCTGTAAAAAGTTTTCAATTCTGATAGGAGTCTATGGGCAACCTTTCTGCATTGGAGATTTAGAGAATTGCCATGGTATATTGCTTGGAGTAAATTTTGACTTAGAGTTAGGTAGACAGGTCCTTAAGTTGTTGTTTTTTTTAAGTACCTTGATTTTCTAAGGTGGATTTGCCCTAGTTCTGGTCATCATTTTTAGTAAAAAGTGGTGACAGTCAACTTTGACTATTTTATGTAGGTTCCTTTGTTCTTACATTTTGAAGAGAAACTTTCAGTGTCATTTTACTTCTGAACATGTTTGGGTTAAATTTGAGATGAATCTGAAAGTTGTTTTAATCATACTTAATGTCATTATCTGACAGTAAACGTCTGTACTTATTGTACTGAGTTGGCCAAAACGTTCATTAGGGTTTTCTGGTAACATCTTCGGGAAAAACCTGAAAGAACTTTTTGGTCAACACAATATAAAATATTCAGTATTTTAACATGAATACTGCTATTTAAATGCTAGTGTATTTGGCCTGTCCTCCCTTTGAGTCCTTATAATATGGGAGTTTTTTAAGTTGTAGGTATTTGAGGATTGCTCTGATTACAAACATTTTTATCTTAGGTCTTATAAGTAGACTATTTTTCAGGCTATCTTGACTTAGGGGAAGAAGTGTGTCATCCTTAGATGCAAAGGGGTGGGGGTGGGGCATTGATTGGACATACTTCTAAAAGTTCTGGGGTATCCAGAGCACTCTTGGCTCATGGGAAATTGCATTGTTAACAAACTCACTGTAAAGAAAAACAGATCGTAATCCAAATCTCTTTCTAAGAACCATCAGGCATCAGAAATGCTGTATTTACCTAATGTAGTTCAATCCCTAGAGTTAGAATTGGAATACTAGAATAATAAGAGTGAGTGCTTGCTCAGTCATGTCTGACTCTGTGATCCCATGGACTTGAGCCCACCAGGCTCCTCTGGGATTTTCTAGGCAAGAATACTGGAGTAGGTTGCCGTTTTCTAGAGTCTTCCCCAGAGGGATCAAACTTCTGTCCCCTGTCTCCTGCATTGGCAGGCGGCTTCTTCACCACTGAGCCTCCTGGGAAGCCCTAGAGTAAATAGGTCCGCTGTTAACTACCCTTCTCCTCAGAGGTCTCTGGTACATTGCTCTTCACATCTCTGTGTACTAAAGTAGACAGTGAAAAGAACAAATGCCAGCAAGCTTCGCTGTGATCAATGAACAGTTCCTTTCAGGTTTTTCTAATTAAGAAGATGTATTAACTTAAGAAATGGGCTTTTGCTGTGACATTCAATAATACATACTTTCAATACCATACTAGTCTGGAGGCACCAGGCCCAGTGAGTTAGCTGACTGCTTTAAAAAGACAACGAGAGCTGTTTTTAAGATTGCTTTAGATGTTTTGTGGCCCGATTGTACATTGCGTTTTTTCATGAGTGTCACAGGTTCACTTTGTAAAGCAAATTCTCCAGCGGAGAAGCCATCAAGGTACTTCTGAGTGCTTAGTACTAACACTGCATGCCACTGCACCTGGCAAGCATGGATTGCAGGGCATGTCCAGAGAAAATAGGAGTCACGTGCTTTTTGTAACTGACTCAGATGTTAAATGGGCCAAATGGAGTATTTGCTGACCAGGAAGTCATTAACAATGAATAGCATCTAACCGAAATAGATAATGTAAAGACTTAAATTGTTTTCTGAGTGAAATTATTTTTTTATACTCAATAGAAGTAATGCTATTATAGACACACACATGCTCCTATTTCTGTCTTCCCCACTTCCAAAATTCACGATAAGTTCTTTCACACACGTCAGGGTGTAAAGAAGGTAACCCGATAAATAGTATTGTTAAATTCCTCAATTTAAATGCAATTTCTGAATACATTTGGGACAAATATTCTTTTCTGGTTTACAGAACTTTTGAGGATTCTATATGTAGGTTAGTTAGGGGGAACCCAGTCTGATGTTTCTAGCTTCCTTCATATCCTATTAACAGTTTTCCAGACCAGCCTTTTAACTTTTTAATATGACTTAACCCAAAATTTTATTGATTGGTGAAGATCAGGGGGAAAAGAATCACTTTCATTGGTATTTCATACCTGAGAAGAGTGACAAAAAACAAAAACCCTTTGCTGCTTAAACTGCAACTTACGGAATGGATGGGGTTATTCTTTTTTTTTTTGGTATCTTTAAATTTTTTATTCTGTGTTGGGGTATAGCCGATTAACAATGTTGTGACAATTTCAGGTGAACAGCAAAGGGACTCAGCTGTACATATACAGGTAATGGATGGGTTAGTCTTGACAGGTACATCTTAGGGAAGGGATTTAAGGAATAGGAATGTTTCAACTGTAGTCCGGTGAGTTGATTTCAGGTGGCAGAATCCTGGAGCCATCTGCCTCAGCAGAATCATTTTTTCCTGACCTATTCCCTTTTTCCTGACAGGACTGTAGGTGAATCATTCCAGCCATGAGAATCCATACCCCACCCCGCTCCTTTTTTTTTTTTTTTGAACACTTGTGGAAAAGGAAATTCTTTAACCACAGAAATTCCCATTTTCTTTTGGTCACTCCAAATTTGATTTTGTGATGCTTCTCACATGCGTGGGCTGCTGAATTTTCCACATTTTCAACTCTTCAGAATCAGAAGAAGGTATGTTTAGAAGAGTGGCTCAGTGGCAAAGAATCCACCTGCCAATGTAGGAGACTCGGGAAACGGGTTCGATCCCTGGGTTGGGCAGGCTCCCCAGAGGAGGAAATGGCAGCCCCCTCCAGTATCCCTGTGGGAAAAATCCTACGGACAGGGAAGCCTGGTGGGCTACAGCCCATGGGGTTGCAAAGAGCTGGACGTGACTGAGAGCTGAGCACACCGCCCCTCTCCCAATACAAGTTTATTCTGCAAGAAGACTCGAGTAGTTGTGAGCATTTTATTTGTTACCTTTACAGTGTGGAGTGAGTCCATGAGAGCCCTGGCCTCGGTCTAGGGTGTCCCTCTTTAATCTTTTTCCATAGTTTCCTAAGTTCTTCTTAAGGACTCACATTGTCTGAGAGCATCACTATGGCTTTTTTTTTCTTTCTTTATATATGGTTTGCTTTTCCTGCCAAAACATAGTATCTAACAGGTATGGCCTGGGGGCACCATTTGATTTGTTTTCATTGAGGTCATTTTGATTTTAAATCTGAACTGTGTTCTGGTTTCATCTGAGCCATTGCCTCACTGACCCCAGAATAAATCACTATTCCTTTTCTGCTTTAGTTTTATCCTATTCAAATTGGTTTAAATGTGCTTTCCTTTTATGAGTCTCCTTTTATGAAAGTTGTCATAAAAACATGATAATGAGAACACAAATGTAAGATTTCATATTTTGCTTATTAATAGAGAAGTCTCTAGTCAACCATCTTGGTCAATATAGAAAATTATAAAAAATAAAAATCACCAGGTTTGTCTGCACTAAGTATTTTAGTGGTATGGTAATTATAGTGTCTACTTGATAGTCAAAGGTCCCTCGAGTCAAAGCTATCGTTTTTCCAGTAGTTGTATATGGATATGAGAGTTGAACTATAAAGGAAGCTGAAAAAAAAAAAAAAGAAAAGGAAGCTGAGTGCCAAAGAATTGCTGCTTTTGCTGGTGTTGGAGAAGAATCCTGAGAGTCCCTTGGCCTGCAAGGAGATCAAACCAGTCAATCCTAAAGGAGATCAGTCCTGAATATTCACTGGAAGGACTGATGTTCAAACTGAAA